TTTCTATCACATGTAAATGCAAATTACAGAAATGTATAATATTCAAAAACTAACAGTGCTGATTGAAAACATCCAGCAAGTAACTGCTATTTCTCATTTTCCTATAAAAACATCAATAAGGTATGAAAAATTCCCATCAAATATAATAACCACCAGCTACTTTTTCCACCTGATGGTTATTCAGTAAAATACCCAATGTGAGCTAGGCACTCTTGGGCCAACCCTAGACTCAAAAGATGGTAATGTCACAGCAAGCAATTTTGACAGATGTCTCTACTGACAGTCTCTCATAAGGAAGCAAAAACAACTGAACAAGCAGCGTCAGAAAAACAATGTTCCTATAATAAAAACTACATCTAATGTCAGACTTGAGACACAGTGGCAAGCTACCAAGGCAAAGCAACTACTTTGGTGCATTTTATCTGTTATACAATGTTCTGTACATACAGAACTCTGTTATACAAGACTGCTGATTATAGAACTGCAATACATATAACTTAAAGAAAAATGTATTTCCTTCAGAGTCAAAACTATAAATACTTATGTTTTAAAGAAGTTACTTCAGCAGCAAAATATGGTAACAAAAGAGAGTCTCACAATACATCTGGAAACAAAACAAAAGAATTATTCAATGGAGCTTTCTGCTTCTGCTCTCCCAGTTCTGCCTCCATGCATACCAACCACAGCCTGATGTACAAGCAAGAAAAAGGAATCACGGAGTTCTCATGACAGAAACACCTGCCCTCCTTGGGGCTCACAGGATCCTACTGTGATCACCAATCGATCAACAGGAAATCAGGAAAGCACAGCTGCTTCCTGATTCCCTTCACAGGAAAGAAAATAACTGAGTTCATGAGCAGCAGTAAGGGGAGACTCCAGACCCCAAAGGTCTCTGGCATCCATGCTGACACAAAATCTTCCCAGTTATAAATTAACTGTTTAGACTGAAAACCCACAAGTTTCATATTTCTGCTGCTCTGCTTATTCTCAACCAAATCTATTCTAGACTGTTTTGTAACTATTGTCTTAAGTTCAGACAAACTTAAATCACACCAGTCTGAAAGTTACCTTTCTGTCTGAAACTTTTCATTGAGGTCTTTTAACTCTCGTTTCCACTAACTCCACTTTATCCAGTCAGTTGTAGCATTATTTAAACACATATAAACACAAATTAATACCCCAATTTTGCTCGAAATTAAAACAGCCAAGCAGCAAACAAAGCTACTACTGATAAGGACATGTTGAAGTAAAATCAGCTATTTCTGCACATTGATTTCACTTTGGCATTCTAGAGAAGTTTACTGAACTAAAGCAAGGGTTTTGCTAAACAAGATGTCCAGTGCCCTTTGGAGAGAGATAATGAAAATGAATTATATTCAGTGCTCTGAATCCATATATCTGACAGGCATAAAAGCAATTATATAAAAAAATTTTTTTAATCCTTACCTCATTGGCACATGTCAGACATCAAGTTGAAGTAACAATCCACTTGTTTTTTCCAAAATTATTTATATGTGTAATAGATTGCATTTTAGAGATCTCAATGCATAAAGCCCCACTAAGGTGCAGCTGTCTCTAATGGAGGGCAACAGAAAATAGGTACAAAGCACACTATAGCACAGGAGATCAAAAATAAATAGGTATTTTCTATTACATTGCTGATAACCCACTCTTCATAAGGTACCTCTACTAAAAGTCTTACCCTGTTCTGTGGTACATATGTATTGCCTTCAAAAATATACAGTTTTACCACTTAAGAGATGTTACGCATCTTCCAGTAATTTCTCAGTCATCACATAACACTGTTCTCCCACACTGCTGTTATACATAAATGAGTTCTCAGCATTTAGTTACTTTCTCCTGCAGGACCTCATTTATTCCACAAATATGAATCAGTGGAATAGTTTGCTACAACTTGGCACTAATCTATAGTTTGAACATGATGACATTTAAGAATCCATATAGCACTCACTACCCACGACTAAGATGAAAGAGATGATTATACCATAAACTGGAAGAGTAGTATGTATGGGACTCTTGATTCATGTGAACCTACTAAAATTACTTAACTCAAATTACCCAATAAAAGAGATATCAAAGGATGCCAGCCTTTAACTGATGATGCAATAAAACAGATGTTGAATATTCAGTGTATTTCCATTATAGCTTACTTGACCAATGTGGTGAAGCTTTGACACAACCAAGTAATTTTGCTAATTCAGTATAAGCAAACAAGACTATTACCAACACACTTAACTGAAAGGTAGGTAGATATAAATATATTTTACTTCAGAATGGAATTATAGCAGGCTAAATATATAATGCTCTTTGCTAACCACAGAAAGCAATGTCTCTAACAGACCATGGAATCAGGGGAAAAGTTCTCAAATTTTAATCCAGTCTCTCAAGAAAATTATGGTCAAACCACAAGCTACTTGTATCAATTCTCATTTGCAAAAGAAAACCCAAGTAATTTCTGGCATGAGTTATAAGAAAAATTTAGGTATACAAGATGAACAACTAATATTTAGCTAATTTGGTAAGTGTAGATTTTAGTAAAAAATTCTCTGTGATTTTCCAACATAGGCAAAACTCTCTCAATTATTAGGAAGAACAATCTGGAGATACTCAGTTTAGAAATCATCTTAATTCCTTAAAACCCTGACAAAAAGGCATTCCACAGAAATACTAATTTCCTGGGGTTTTTTTTTTTCCCCCTCTAAGGCAACTGCTGCCTATAGTTCCGGTGTTTTCAAGTCTCCTGTTATTTAAGAAAATAAGTAAGGACATAACACAGAAACAAAGCAATGAACAATAAAGCCTGTGCAGAAAACATCAGGATGAATAGCTACAAGTGATTTCTGATGCAAAGTTTTGTGCAGTACTTCAGTGAAATATTAGCAGACATGGGGCCTAACCTTGGGTTTAGTTGCCAAAGTATAACATGATTTCAATTTTACACTGTTTTATTTTAGTGTTGTATACACTGAAATCCTTTGAGCATCTTGGAGAACTTTTACTGTACCAAAGATTAAAGATACATGGCAGGACTTGATTCCCAAGCCTGGTTGTTTCTCTCTGTGTGGCTTCAACTACTCAGTGCTATAAGGCAATTAAAAGCTTCTGAAGTGCTGATGGCAGAGCAAAAGATGGGGTTTTTTCTGGGAAGAGAAATGGGGACACCTAGGGATATCTGTGATCTAGAAGGACATTCTGATGAAACCCCAAAACAAAGAACAAAACACCTATGCAAAGCAAGCATTTATTTTTTGAGATTTACCATTTCCTAGTGCTTACATGCACAAAGTTAGCAGCTAGAGGTACTTTCAGTAGTTTTAGTTCTTTGTGTAATACAGCATGGATTTTTTCCAAATGACCAGCATCTAGATTCACCACAATCTGTGGACACACTAACACACTGAATGATACTGAAATAGGTCGAAAACTATCTAGAGACAAAACTGAATATGAGCAAACATTTCCTTCAGCATCGATCATGTAAGTACTTTTCAAGACTGGAACTATTATTCTAATTATCTGTTGGAGAGATTCATGTCTGATAAATTTGTTGATAAAGCACTGTATTTTAACATTTACTGTGAGTTGAAAAATGTATGAATAAGCAGACCTAAAATGGGAGAACAGGTGAAGATTAGCAGAAAAGAAGTAGTGACTTCAATATGACATGATGCACAGCAACTGGAATCTGCTGAGTCTATGACACCCTCAGGAATATGGACTCACTCCATAATGCCATAACAGCTAAAAGTTAAGAGAATTCCTGATACAGATCCATAGTAAGTCATAAATTAACTTAACTCTTACAAAATTCTCAAGGAAAGTTTGAGATTTATCCACAGTCGGTCCTCTAGACAGAACAAGTCATGCGTGGAGTGCAGTTGAGATCATAGGAGATATGGCACTAGAGTTTGACAATTAAAGAAATCTGTAGGCAACAGTGAATCAAGCAGATCGGACCAAATGAAAAAGACTAAGGCATCAAAATTCCCTATCACTTAACAACAGGGGTTTAAAAAAAAAAAAAAATTGTGACCATACAAGTTTAGGTTCATGCTAAAAATCAGTTATGTTGCTGCTTAAGAAGTTTCTCTCACCCACTTTCAGTGAGTAGTCTAAACTTCTGTTTTAAGAGACACGTGGGAATTTATTTTTTATGATTAGGTTTATATTTGTGTAACAGGACATACAGTATTTCCTGCTATCAAATGCTTCAAAACAGCATAAATACGGCTGTTTTTACAGGACTTCTTTTGTTGATACAAAACAACATGTAAACCATCATACAAAATCCACTGCCACAAAACATTCAATCCAGGAAGTTTTGGAGAATGAACATCAAAACATTACACTTTTAACCAAATAGAGAGAGATTTGTCGACCGAGTATCTGCGATACCCAAGTTAGGGTGTTTGGGGTTTTCTTGCTTTTAACATAGAAAACAATCTATATTTACTCTAAAAAAAAACAGTCTACTCTAACAAACCCATCTGGAACTTATTTAGATTTAGAAACAAACAAACCAAATCAAATGAGAAAAAAAAAAAAAAAAAAGCCCTCAGTTACCATAGTTCATTTTCTCAGATTGGTCTTGGCACAATTGTTCTCCCTAGATTCAAGGCCACCTCAACCTCCTCTTTCATGTAAAACATGCTACACATGCATTGGGAAACAAACCATACAAAATATTTATATAGTTCTTTCATAACATGAAAACAAAAAAGAGTAAACAATATATACTAATTGATGATGACGTTCACATCTGTGCATTTTTTAAAAATCCTGGTATTTTTAAATGAAAACAATTATTTGCATTGGTTGATTAGTCATTAGGGAAAAAAAAAAAAAAAATAAAATAAAAACCCTGCATTTGAAACAACAGTCATGAATCACCTGCAAATTTAATCATAAATGGAAGCGCACATTTACATATTAGAGTCTACAGAAAGCATTAGAACATTAAAGAGGAACAAAATACTTACACTGTCTTCCTCCTCTGTATCTTCATTATCGTCATCACTATCCTTGAACCCAGGTGGAAGCGGTGGCCCAATGAATTCATCATCATCATCATCAGTATCCTCAGCTGGACCTTGAGCAGAAGTCTGGGACTGCATGGAAGGCCCAGTTAAGTCTTCATCTGAGCTATCTCCACTTTCACTATGGGCTGTCTCTCTGCATGGAAAAAATTTAAGATTACTTTTTCAAAAACACCAGCACTACCACAGGAACTTTCAGATAAAAGATAAACACTTTTGTAAATTTGTAAACACTGAAAGTAGTAGCAAAACATAAACAATTTTTATTAATGGAGTGTAGGTCCACTATCATTTTGAAAGCAAGACCAAAGCTTTAAAAAAAGGAATATAATAGCAGCAGACAGTTCAGAAAACTGGACAAAATAAAACAAAGTTAGATGGATTGCAAAAACAACAGTACCACATCATTAGTATGGATTTCAATATTGCTTAGGAGCCAACAGAATATATCATTACAGAACATTTTAAATTTTCTGCCTCAAGTTGCAACCTGTGCAGATGCTCTGCACCTCTCTTGGCTGGGTGAAACTCAAAACACTAATCTCCCAGGCTCACAACCAGAGTGAGAACATAAAACGTGGCACTTGCATTATAATGCCGGTAAAGAAAAACAGCAAATTAGGCACTTTTGACCAAATATTTGATACTGTCACAAATCTAGATTCTAAATGTTACAGTAAATTATCATTTTTCTGTTGTCCAAATCAGTTGTGTGAACACATAATTTTTGGCATTGGAAAATTTCTGAAAAGTAAGTAGAGCTATTTAGTCCCTGTTCATTCAGTTTATTCAAAATAAATGTGCTCCCTCTGCTGGTAGTTATCAAGTAGAAAGTACTCTGACTGGCAGAAGGTCCAAAAGTGTTAAGTAGAAAACTTTGCCTTTGACTAGATACAGTGCACCATTACAGTGGTACACTGCAGTGGAATTAGATGTTCCTTTCAAATTCAGTGAGACAAACTCAAATTGCAAGACTCTGGAAGCTTCTATTTTAAGAGCATGTATTTGAGTTTTTAAGTGAGCAAACTGCAAAAAATAGTTTAACAAATAAAGTAAATAGGACTACAGAGGTATTGAGGTTTTTTTAAAAGTTTAGGTTATCACTTAAAAACTATAAAACACACAAGTTTAAGAACATAACAAAGGATTAAGAAAAAATGCTCTAAACTATGTAATTGGGACAGAGAATGAAGCTTCACTCTGCCCCAACAAACCAGCTATACACCAAGCAGATAGTAGGTTACACAGCAAATATTTGTGTTGGATAAGCAATTGAAAATTCTATTTTAGGGAGAAAACGAAACAAACTAAAACCAACATGAATTGGGTCCTCAGAGGTTAGTGATGAGAAGGGATTGCATGCCTGAAAGCTTTGTATTTACTAGCCTAACAGAAGATATTACCTCTACATACAAAGTTTGTTTTGCATAGTGATGGGAGATATTTAACAACCTAGATCAGATTATCTAATAAATATGACTCAAATAAAAAGAGCTTCTCTTACTCTGCAACAATAGGGCAATCAATATCCTTTCACGAAAAAGGCAGCGTCCGGCATGTGAGAAACAGGTTGGGACCTTCAAAATTCTTCAAGTTAAGTAACCCCAACACTAACAACTTTACAATACTGTGCAAAAGAGTTGTGTTTTAGGAATCAGCATGCATTCCCAGGTTAGCAAACCATGCATCTTTCCTCCAAAAGCCAACCTAGTTAGTTGGCTTTGGAATGGAACTAAATATACCCTGTAGCTGCCAGTCAGAAGAATACATAAAACATGATTCAAGGAGACTTTTCCAATCCTGGATTCCCAGATTTTCAGATCTTTCTATAGACACGCAAGAACAACAGCTAGCTTCCTTCCTAATTATCTATCCTTATCATTTCCTCATTTCGTAGGAAGGATAAATCAATCAAATCACACACTTGAGTATTTGAGAGGCAGTTTAATCATTCTACATGTGAAAAGGCCAGAACTGCAGTGCTCCTTTTCACCACACTCCAAGCTTGGCAGGAACAGCCTAGTACTCCAGCTACAGCTACTGGTATCCTCTGTCCTGACTGAAAGTCAGTCAAACGTAAGAATATCCCAATGCAGCCAGACCAAAATTCCATCTACCCTTCTGACAGTGACCAGGACTGGTGCTGACAAAGGACAAAACAAGTGGCTTTTCCTTCAACTTTCAGCCTTACAATCTGACTCTACCAGAGGCCATAAAGAAAGAAGCAGTTTGCCAGCCCCTTCCCCAGGATTCAGAGAAGTCTAAGGAATTGGTTTTTGCTTTACCTTATAACCACTTCTGTAAGAGGAAAAAAAGAAAGCTGCATTAGAGCACGGATGGCACACAGACAGGGAAATAACAAAAAACATTCTGAGACCTGTGCAAGTATGTGGGCATATCCCCCCCATGTGTTCACTCTCCTCACATCACCCACTCTAGTTTCCCAGACTCTTTTCTTTTTATATTCACAAAGCATAACTACTCTTATTTTTATACTTATGTATAAATACATAAGTACCATAACTATGTTAAACATTTCTCTACAGTAAAGTAGCTCAGAAGCAAGAAGAATCAGTAGCTGTTCTTCACATTCTCTTGGAGTGATCAACCCCTTTTTAACAATTAAAAAAATTAGTATGAGGGCTCCAATGATAACTGAAAGTACTTGGAATTTTTAAAAATGTAATATTCAGGAAAGTGTTGCCATTTTCAGAGAATAGAACAAGCTATATATATTAGATCAGTGTATAGTAACTAAAATCAACATTATAAAAAGAACTACCGAGAGTCCTGTATTTCAGACTTAAATAGTCAGTTGTAGGAATGTTCCTCTGAATTAAGGCTGAGTCACAACGTCACAACAGCATGTCTCCTTCACTAGCTTCCTCGTTTTAGCACTAAGTAAGAAACTACATATGATGTTTTACAAGGAAATAGAGGAATTCCAGGAGAGCTTTTCAGGTCATGCCCTCCCTTCTTGATGCTCTTTTAAAAAAAAAAAAACAAAAAAAAAAACATGCAACACTTAGACTTAGCAGAGCCTACCTAATAACTCACAATACTGAAAGATACTTGTTATCTTCCTTTATACAAAGTCCCTGGAGTTCTCTTCTGTCAAGTCCACCAGCAAGATGAGATGATCGGGGAAAGGTTCTATATCACCCGACTTCTTTCCACCTTACCATTTGTTTTAGTTGATCCTCTATATTGAAGTCACCCATATATAGTACAAAATCACATTACGTTTAAATTCTTGTGATCCTTCACTATTTCACCAAATAGGTATCTAAGATCATTAAAAGCAAATGGGAACATAGAATATTTTTCCTTTATGCACAAGACATAACACAGGAACTATAGGATAGTACATTGGGCAGTTATTTCCATGAGAGTGCATGGCACATTGGAGTTTTCAACAGAGCAAGAGGCATAAAGTAAGTTTAACAGACACTTGTTCACAGTGAAACGCTACAAGTTTGTCTATAATAATCTACCACATATAGACACTATCAACCTGTAAGATAGATATACATATGTCTACTAGAGCCTCATGTGGGTTATTAGACTTCCACAGATTCAGATACCTAAAAATTAACAGGCCACTGATGTCCACAATCCCTGCCATGCAGTGGAGTTGTGTGGCCCCCATTATTTTCACCTACTCTTGAGAGTAAACTTCAGACCGAAGTCAAAACAAAACACTTTCTCAGCTCCACCACTACTCCATACAATGTGCATACAGAGGCTCTCCACCTACTTCACTTTTCTTTCCAGCAGGTGTGAACAAGTATATTCTATCTACATGTGGGAACAACAGTCGTTCATTACATCAGCACATGTAAGTCATTATATGTGCCCTAACGTTTTCAAAAAACCCACAGACTGTTTTTATTTTAAAAAAGTATGACAAAAAGGACTGGGGAGGAGACTGAAAAAATAACTATTAAGTGTACATCTTTAAGAAAGCATAGATTAAAAAAAATTTAATAATCACAGTTTCCACTGAAATACTTCAGATAACACTGACATGTTCATGCACATTAAATGACACTTATCCTATAAAAAAACCAAACAAAAAAAAACAACCAACCAACCAAACAAACAAACAAAAAAAAAACCTCTTCAGATAAGAAAGCCCATGGAGTCTCCCACCATATCTAAGTACCTTTGGGTTAACGTGGACCCAACTCCCGTTGCACTGGCTGCTGAAGCTGATGAATCAGTGCATGAACTTCTAAACTCTTTTTCAGCTTGGTCTTCCTTCTCTCTTTCACGAGCCTCTGAATTCGGAGAGCACATAAATGACAAATAATCAAGACTTCAAAAATAATAAAATTAGAGACTTGCTAAGGATAGTAAAACAATTTCCTTTGTTTTCAGACCTATACGAAATATTTGGAAGTGTAACAGCATGCTAATTAAGGATTTCACCTGAAAATTGATTATTTCTCCATGTAAGTTAAAGTTCCATTGCTACTACAATGATCACTCAGAAAAACAAAATATCACAAGGAAAATGGAAACACCTTCCAGCTGTTAGTTTGTACACACCATCAAACATGAGTCAAGTATAAAAGGATGCTGGTATTTCAATATTTTCGACACTATACTAGTAAACAGTATGATTACTTCTGAGTTTCTTAAGTTTTCATAGCACAGGGAACTGAATTAGTAGATAAGTCTACACATGTGTAAGTAACTGAACTCTGAATATGATTTATAGAAAATAAATACAAAGAGTTGTTTGTATTAAGTTTATTCCTACTTCACTTACTGAAAAAGAATCCCTGTGAAACAACGCAACAAAATCAAAGTAAACAGAAACTCTGATTTCAAAGTATAAATAAGAATGGTGGGATTATGACAGGGTAACAGATACAGTATTTCTAGAAGTGCTCAAACAACTTCAATTAAGCAGAAAAAAGTTACATTCTGTCCATACAACTGTATTGCATTTATGTGGTAGGATTTTGGTAGAGGGAGGCGCTTACAGGCATAGCTCCTGTGTGAAGCTGCTAAAACCTTCCCCCTACTCAAAGTTGGAACCGCCCCTGGGCAAGGCCAAGACAATTAGCAACAGTGACAGTGCCTCTGTGATAAGGTATTTAAGGGGAATGGCAAAGAGAGGAGCGAGGGAAATATCTATGTAAACATGAAAGTCAGTTGAAAAGGTGGGGAGGGGGTCTGGAGCAGAGATTCCCCTGCAGCCCATGGAAGACCACAGTAGCACAGATGATGACCTACGGAGGACCCCACATGAGAGCAGGCAGCTGTGCCCAGAGAAGGCTGGGACTCTGGGGAAAGCCCACACTGGAGCCGTTTGCTCCTGAAGGACTGCACCCCACAGAAGGAACCCCCGCTGAAGAAATTTGTGAAGAACTGCAGCACATTGGAAGGACTCACACTGGAGAAGTTCATGCAGGACTGTCTCTCTTGGGAGGGACCCCGTGCTGGAGAAGAGGAAGAATGACAAGAGTCCTCCTCCAGAGGAGAAAGGAATAGCAGAAACAATGGGTGATGAACTGACAGCAACCTCCACCCCCTGACCCTGTGTTGCTTGGGGGGAGGAGGTAGAGAAATTGGGAGCAAAGCTGATCCTTGGAAGAAGGGAGGGGTGAGGAGGATGTGTTTTTAAAATGTAGTTGTATTTCTCACTGCCATACTCCAATTGATAAATTAATGCTGGTAGTGTTCAAATAAGATTGATAGGATTTTTTTCCCAAATCAAGTCTGTCTTTTGACTAAGACCATAAGGGGTGAGTCAGCCTTCCCTGTCCTTATCTTGTGATCCCTGAGCCTTTTGTCTTATTTTCTCCTCCTTATCCCCTGCTCAACTGCCCTATGGGCTTAAACCAGAACGTGAAAAAACATCACTTTCTCTTACTCACTGTTTGTTAACTAAACTAGAAAGAAACATTTTCCTCTGAAGAGAAACACAAAACACTGCAAGATATAGAACCAGGAAACATATTTTGATCTCAGTTCTTTTTGACCAGTTTGGAGAGCAGAGAAGACATTTCCAAAAGTTATTGTAGGTATTAAAAAATAAATGCACAGCTAAGTAAAAGAAGAAAGGAAATACTCTTGTGTTCAAGTGTACTTTTCTCCTGTATCTGTAAGCCATCCTCACAACTGAAACCTTGTACACACACACTGCTTTTACGTACTCAGAAAATCTATGTAAACTAATAACTTTACTATTTACCAAGCCCCAAGCAGTTTAGGACTGTCTTCCTTGAACAAAACTACATTTTCTTTTTGTTCTCTAGACAGCCAGTCTAAGACAGCTTTATCATCGCTCCAAGACAGGAAAACAAAATAGGGTTCAAAATGCATTAACTGACTACACTTGCATTTCTTACCCAGGACCTTTCTGCTCCTCTCCACTGCAGTTCTTCTCGTTTGCTCAAACATAGCTTCGAGGTCGAAAGTCCGAGCTTTTTTACCTGAAAACGAAGAATATGGAGGCTGAAACACTGACTCGCCATGGTCACGGGCACTCCGGCAGCTCCAAGCCGGGGAGGGACACACGACACCCACAAGTACGACCGCTTCGTTTCCATTTCCAACCGCCTCCCGCCCCCGGGGCTCCCCAAAAAGGGCCGCCGGCCCCGAGCAACCCCCTCAGCCGTACGCCCGGCACCCCCCGGCCCGCATCGCAACGCACCGAAGCCGGAGAAGCCCATGGTGGCCGCCAGCTCCGGGTCGGGTCCTCCCAGCACCTCAGCGTCTGCAAGAAAAAAAAGGGACAAACAACCACGGGGGTCAATCCAGCGGCGCGGGGTGAGCTCAACCCGGCCCGGCCCGGGCCGCCGCTCACCGCTCTCCGCCGCCGGCTCCATGCTGCCGCCGCCCCGGAACCACAACAGCGGCCGGCAGGAAGCGGCCGCGGGGCCCGCGCCCGCCCCTCGGCCCCGCGCGGAACGGCAGTGTCCCCTCGCTGCTCGGAGGCCTCGACTGCATCCTCATGGAACCACCGGGTGTCTGAAGTTGGAAAGGACCCATCAGGATCATCGAGTCCAACTCCCTGCTCCTGGCAGGACCACCTGAAACTAAACCACGGGGCTCCGAGCGCTGTGCAGACACTCCCTGAACTCTGCCAGGCTTGGTGCCGTGCCCACTTCCCTGGGGAGCCCGTGCCAGTGACCGACCACCCTCTCAGTGAAGAGCCTTTTCCTAATGTCCAACCTGAACTTCCCCCGACACAGCTTCATTCCCTTTCCTCACATCCCATCGCTGGTCACCAGAGAGAGGAGATCAGCACCTCCCGCTCCACTGCCCCCCCATGAGGAAGGTGTAGGCCGCCATGAGGGCACCCCTCAGCCTTTTCTCTGAGAAGAGGGCACCCCTCTCATCTCTTCTGGACTGAGAGAAGGCCAAAACTATATTCTTTGTTTAGATTAAAGAACTGGTTTATAATAGATTTCTAGTTGGTCAGCATGTTTTATTTGGTAATCTATAGTAACCTTACTTGTATTCTTTTCTTAATTTCACTCACATAGTTTAGTCATCTGCTGGGTAGAACTAATTACAAGCCTTATAAAATTTTGGTAAATCTTGAATGGTTCATTAAGTTTCCTGAGTATCCCTGATAACAGGGGCTCAAGACACCAAGACGAGAAGGGGAGGACACCAGTGTCAAGATAAGCACCTGGGAGCTCGTTTAAACTGACTTTCTTGGAGCACCCCAGGATGGATGAGCTAACTCCACGACCATATACAGGCAAAGGAAACCCAAAGTTTAACCAGTGGACACTCTGAAGACAACTATGAAAAACCACCAGAGGGGGGAAAGACCCTAACCCTAATTTTATCATGCATGCTTGGACTATGTAAATAAGTTCTAGGAAACCATTAGCATAAGACTGCCTTTTCTAGGAGACTTGATGAATAAGTATGTTTGTTTTGTATATCAACTAGTGCGTTCTCCTAACCCGTCAGCACACTTATGGTGGAGCGATCCCCAGTGCTGCCCAGCACTGCTAATGAAAGATGCCTGTTTAACAGTTGAGATTATCTATGACTGTTAAGTGATTTCTTCGTTTCAGGACAAGTCAAGTGACCTCAGCTGCTCCTCCTAAGTCTTTCCCTTGAGACATTTTACCCTCTTGGTCATCCTCCTCTGGACACACTGTTTGCTCCTGTTTGACGTCCTGTGGTGGTGTATTCCCCCTTCATATCCATCCTGCTTAAGCCACCACCAGTGGGGTTCATGATGGCTGCACCCAGCTTACTTTGGGGGACGGATGGCAACATGGTAGCCAAAGGCTGTCTGGAACAGTGAGCCAGATGTCTTGCTGGTATGCAAATATTGACTTTAATCAATCATTTTACTCCATAAATAGTGGATAGCCCAGGGCCTGTGGAGCTTTCCTGCATGGCAGTGAGCTGCACGCCAGCATCTCCCCTTGAGTAGGGACACCTCTCAAAGTTACTCCTCAAAATCAAGAGGTGCCTTGCAACAGATTCTCAGTAAGTGATTAATAGCATGCTAAACTTTGAAATCTTATGTAAGTGATACAAAGGATTGAATGCACATATATAATCCTGAAGACATAAAAAGTTGACTAAGTCAGGGACTAAGACTGGATCCAGCTGCACCTAGACTCCTCTATGAGAAGTTTAGAATACAAGGAGGTCCTTTATGAACCTCATGACTCAACAGGAGGGTCTGCCTGACAGTTTTGTCTGGCCCTGTCCTCTATGCAGTCAATAACCAAGTGTACCTTGCCATCAAATCTTGTTAAACCACTGTCGCATTTACCATTGAACTTCGATATATCAATACAGTATAGTGTTGCTTCTCTCTTATGGGTCAAGTGCATGACTGCATCCGTGACACCTTCTTACACTGAGGCACCCAAACCTGCACACAGCGCTCACAGTGGGTCCACACCAGTGCAGTCTAGTAGAGAATAGTCACTCCCCTCGACCAGCTAGCCACGCTGTGCTTGATGCACCCCAGGGCACGGCTGGACTTTTTGGCTGCCAGGGCACACTATTGGCTCCTATTTAACTTGCCATCAACCCAAGCCCCCACATCTCTTTCTGCAGGGATGCTATGCAGCACCTTGTCCCCTAGTTTGTACATATGTATGAGAACCCACATTCACTACAAAGATAGTATACACATCAACATCAGAACAAGCAAAAGCCAAAACCAAACCAAAACATGAAAAAAGTTCCCCACACCAAAATAAAAATAATAGCAAAATACTGAGACACAATACACAAAATCCAACCCTAGTCCCTTCACCACATCAGAAAAAAAAAAAAAAAAAAAAAAAAAAACACAAAACCAAACTTCCCCACAATTACAACTACAGAAATTCCAAAGATCATTCCTCTAACAGAGTTCAGTCTGTGTTTTGCCCATTACCTCGCCCAATTAATATCCTTACCAGGTCACATTCCTCTGCCCCACGTTGAGCGCTAAAAAGGACTGTCATGGCTTGAGCTCAGAGGGCAACTGAGCACCATGGAGCTGCTCACTCCTCCCTTCCCCCTCAGCACTGAAAAGGAGAAAAATAACCCAGACTTGAGATTCGAGATAAGGACAGGGAGGGATAAATCACCCATTATGGTCACAGGCAAAAGGCAGACTCGTCAGGGGAAGGAAAAAGAACATAAGTTTATCACTGGTACTAACAACACCACCACTTAACAGACAGAGTAGGACAGTGAGAAGCATTGCCACATCTTGAGAACACCTTCCCCCCACCCCTCCCTTCTTCCTGGTCTCAGCTCTGCTCCCGATATCTCTACCTCCTCCCCCAGCAGCACAGGGGCAGGGAATGGGGGGTGCAGTCAGTGATGCTGCTTCTTCCATCTTTGGTGGGGGGAGCTTCTGGAACTTCTTCCCCCTGCTCCAGCGTGGTCCCCCTCTCACAGAATACAGTCCTCCACAAACTTTCTCCGACATGATTTCTTCCCACTGGCCACAGTTTTTCTCACACTGCTCCGGTGTGGGATACCAACTTTCTCCAACTGGAGTCCCTCCCACAGGCTGCAGCCCTTCCCAAGCTGTCTGACCTGGGACACCCCCACATGTTGCAATCCTCCCAGCACTGAACTACAACAGCAAGGGCTGCTTCTTCTCACAGGATCCTGGCCTCCTTTGGGTGTAGACACTTTAGTTGACCATATGAGGTCCCTCCCAGGCCATAAATCAGTGTCTGCTCTACTGTAGATCTTCATGGGTGGTGGTGAGGGGCTGCCCTGCCGTCTCCCCAAAGGATACAGGGGGGTTGCGGAGCCGCGGACGAACGACACGCCGAGACGGGTTCAGTGTGGGTGATAGAGCATCAATCAACGTGTGTCTTTATTGGTCCAGGGTACATATATTTATCCAGACAATGATAATTATTATGCCTACTAGTCACTAGCTGATTGGCTTAAGCTCCAAAGGTCGTATTCGCACGGTCCACCCACCTGCAGTTAGCTTACAGCACAAGCCTCTCACAACACTAAGTTTCTCATGCTACTATTTCTGATTCCTGTTGACTTGTTTTCGATACACGACAGTACCGTAACACAATGTTTCTCAGACCACCGTTACCATAACACTGGGTTTCTCAGACCACTATTCCTAATTCCCCTTAACCTGTTTTCGACACACCACGGTACACAGGGCTGAAGCGTCCTTGACATTCCTCCTGTATCAGCAGCTGCGAGCAGCTGCAGGCAAACCCTAGTGAGGCTCAGCATCAGCAGCTAGAGCAGGCTCTGATCATACAATTGCTCGGTGGGCTCAGGACCCTTGTCTCTGAGCCATTCTCCAACAATTCCCCCTTTTTCTTTTTGTATGAGCAGAGCCTGCGCTAACGTTCGTTCAAAGATTTTCTTAATACATGACAAGGCACAACTCAGGCATGCAGGCTTACAATCTACTGGCTAAAGGCACAGGACCCTTGTCTCTGAGCCATTCTCCAACAATTCCCCCTTTTTCTTTTTGTAGGGGCAGAACCTGCCCTAACGTTCGTTCAAAGATTTTCTTAATACATGAGAAGGCACAACTTAAGCATGCAAGCTTACAATGTGTTGGCTAAAGGCACTTATCACGCACCTGGAAGTGCTGTGATAGGTCTGCATCGTTAGCACGCGTGAACAAACTAAATCTACTTTGTGTTTAGTGCATCCAGGCATTCAAACAGGGAGGAAGCACTAGATTGACTTCCTCCTTCTTGCCCTTCCAGGTGACCTCAAGGGCAGGCTTACCACGTGGCAGTTTTCTGATCAGAGACCCAGCCTGGATTGTCCAAACCCTGTAGGATCAGTGCATAACCCTGATCCCCCCCCAAAAAAAAATTCCTACCAGGTTTTCCCCCTTTTTCTTTTTTGGACAATCCAGACTCCTTTTAACGTTTGAATCATAGCATTCATAAAGCATTTCCACACAGACCCCAATACCATCATGACAATCACAATGACAATCAGCATTGCCAGTCTGTGCATCAACAAAGCTTTCAGCCACCCAGTAATTTCCAAGTTTTGTAGATTTGCAACCATCATCAGTCCATTTTCCAAATTCCCAAGTCTCGTAACCAGTCTGTCAGTCCATGTTCTAATCTTATGCAGTCTTATGTAGCAAGAAAACCATCCTTACAGTTTTAAGAGTGTCAGCAATTGTAACAACAGAGTATGCAATACAGAATGTAATACAGGTTTCACCATGCTATGTTCTAAACATTGCAATGAACCCACAACATACAATGAATCTGATAGTATATGAACAAGTTTTCGATACCAGTGTCGATGTTGAAACACCATACAATGAACCTGATACTACATGAACAAGTTTTTGATACCAGTGTTGATGTTGAAACACCAAAATGACAGTTCAGAGTTGTAAAGTTCGT